GGGTATTATAGCTTTGTGCAGCCCCAAGAGTTTGTAACGCCGCGAAATATTGGTCCTAGACCCACCTTTAAGTATACCGATCGTCATATCTCGACTAGATGAGTCGATCTAGACATGTGTGTCCGTCCGTCTGTCCGTCTGTCCATTATAATTTGTAAACACGATACAGGCCGCAGTTATGGACCAATCTTCACTAAATTTTGCATGTAGGATGGGTTCTGCCCAATGAAGACCCCTATTGGTAAATATCGGTTAATATTTAGGGGATGAAATGGACCAAAAACTACATTTTTGTCTGATTTTCTGGTCGCTTTAGAGGCCGCAATTATGGCCCAAACACCGCGAATTTCTACATGGAGAAGGGGATTGGGCCAAAGACTAAGCATGCCTGTTTTGATAAACATCGATCAATATTTAGGGGGTCAAATGGACCCTAACTTTTGTGTGAAAAATGACAAAATTTATATTCTATAGCGTATATATATTTACTCCTGAAGGACATAGACCCGAGAAGTTGATAGTATATCCAAGAGGAGTGGTTGATCTTTAAATTGATACCAATTATATTGTCGTATGTACTCAGATGTGGGAGTTACATTTAAATATTTACGTACTCAGATATTATTTAGTAACACATTACCACACTGGAGGCGGAAATACAGCGCGGATCGCTTTGATAATTTCCATAAGGATCCAGGAATGGTCAAGGATAACGCCTATAATTTTCGGTGATGATCAGATAATAATATTGGGAAGAGGTGGACCGAAAACTTAATTTTTTGTGTTTTTTCTAGTCCATATATAGTCCACAATTGAAAGTCGAACATCATAACACAACCCACCGTGAAGGGAATCTGGACAAGTAATTAGAAGGGATTTACTGAATATTAGTAATATTTGTTGACCTCTAGTCGGTCAAGAGGATGTAAATATAGCGAAATATTTTCCATGCTAAGAATATATAACCACAGAAAGTTAGATTTTCGTGGAAGTTGTGTAGGGTATCATATGGTCGGCCCCGTCCGACTATACTGCTCCGCTCACTGGTTTTTATACTCTCAGCCTTATGGTTAATGACAGTATATACACTTTCATACGGCAAAAATGTGCTTCATCGAAATATTTATTGAACCAAATCCGTTTTAGACAATTTAAAGTCGTTTTACAAATGGCCGTCCTTCTTTATGTGTTTCTGACCAGGTCGTGCGCACGATAACCCTCGAAAGGAGTAACCGATTTAATTCAAACTTTGCACATTGTAATATTTTTTTTTTTTTCAAACTTAAATAAAGTTTGAAGATGGAAAATATTGGTCCACTCGTTCTAGTATCTCCTCCATAAAATGGTAAAAATTTGGCTGGACCAATATTTATAAATGCAATTATGTGTTAATGAAATGTCCGACTTGATCCAAACTATTCTCATCGCAGCATTTCTTTCATAAAGTTCAAATAAAGTTCGGAAATGGGGATAATCGGCCCCGTCTTTTGCTGAAAATGCAGTTTATAATATCATGCGAACAGAGTATCGAATTTTAACCAGACGTTGACAACCTAATATTTTAATCATACCTGTATATATTTTAGAAGATGGGACTTAGTGGTCCACTAAGTAGTATTGGACCCACAAAGGTTCAAAATTTTCCATAATTTTAAATCCAATAGTAGGCGAATGGAATGTCCGACTTGACCTACACTGTGCACACCATAATATTTCATTCAAACTTAAATCAAATTCGAAAATGGGGAAAATTGGCCTACTGCTTCCGGTAAAAATCCACGCCTAATACTGTGATCCTATGGAAGAAATACCTGCTACATGCTGAAGCTCTTTTAAAGGAAGACTAATACATGCAGTTCTTCCATAGGAAGAGTAGTATCTGCAGCACAGGAAGAACACTCCTGGAGCTCTTCCACAGGAAGAAGAATACCGACAGCTCTAATATAGGAAAATTTTTAAATTTAATATGAAGCGAAGGTCTACTTCTTTTTACGACCTCCCTCAAAGGGTCAACATTTTGAAAACTTGTACATAGCATATAAAGCGAAAAAAGTATCCAATTTCATCATAATATGTTTACGTTACATAGATCAAGTTTGAAAATGAGTCCCGACGGTTCTAATACCTTCCCCACAAAATGTAAAAAATTCGAATATTTTTTAACCCTACAACAAGAGAATGACATGTCCAGACTTTGCAAATATTAATTCAGTTACGAAACCTATATCAAGTCCGAAAATGGTCAACATTTTCATATGCCTCATATAAAGCTGAATAAAACTTGTGTGTAATTCCGTATACCTCCTAACACCACAGACTAAGGATATACATCTGTCGGCAAAACCCACTTATATTTTTTTTTCTTGTTGTAGTAAGTTTTGACACCCTATGATTACCCGAAAAATCAAATGAAAGATAATTGGTTGAAATACATGCCCGAACCCAAATAGTATATCTAAATCTGGACCGATTTTCAGGAAACTTAAAACACATCATTCTAGACCTAATTCATTACGATATGCCAAATTTCGTGCAAATCAAAAGATATATAGGGACTTTGGTACACCATTTACATTAAATTAGACGAAAATATATACGGAACCTATATTTAAATCTGAACCGATTTTCAGGAAACTTAACACACATCATTCTAGACGTAATTAAGTACACTATACCAAATTTCGTACAAATCGAAAGATATAAAGGGACTTTGGTGCACCATATACGTTAAATCGGTCGAAACTATATATGGGAGGTATATCTAAATCTGGACCGATTTTCAGGAAACTTAACACAGGGACTTTGGTGCACCATTTACCTTAAATCGGACGAAACTATATATGGGAGCTATATCTAAATCTTAACCGATTTTCTCGAAAATTGGCACACATTATTCTGGAACTAATTCAGTACGCTATGCCGAATTTCGTGCAAATCGATTTACCTTAAATCGGACGAAAATATATATGGGAGCTACATCTAAATCTGAACCGATTTTTCCCAATTTCAATAGGGTTCGTCCTTGGGCCTTATAAATGAGCTGTGCCAAATTTCATATAATTCGAATCATAAATGCGACAGGCGGACGGACATTCATAAATCGACTTAGAAAGTGATTCTATGCATATTCTCAAAAGGAACCATGTGTCTATCTCGTTTCCTTTTGCCTGTTACAAACATATGCACAAATACATAATACCACAGTGTGGTGAAGGGTATAAAAATACATCCGATTTAATTGAAACACGTATCCAAACTCCCCCAAATACCGTAATTTGGAATGTAACGTTAAATGGGATCTACCCCAAAAAGTGTATCAATATGGATAATTTTTGATAAGAAGATTTGCTACCCAATGAGAACCCTATGTACCAAACTACAACAAATTCGGTTGTAAAATGTCCTAAAAAGCTGTAAAATACCAAATATTGGGGGTTCGGTTATGTAAGCCAATATTTATAATTTTTAATAGCAAGATTTTTTGCTCAGTGAGAATCCATAATACCAAAGACAGCCGATTAGATTGAAAAATGGGCCCAAAAGCCTCAAACTACCGAATATTGGAGGCCCCTTTTATATCAGGGGCTTCCGATACATGGACAGAGATTTTCTTCTTCAGGAGAATTACTAATATCAAATGAGAACCACTTCTGTTAACGAAAACACACCCAAAAGCTTCAAAATTCCGAATATTTTGGTTTTCAGTTATATGGCGGCTATCCTAGAAATAGGGCCGATATTTTCTAATTTATATCAAACATTCTACACTATATGTATTTAAGTTGTAATGGAAAGGGGTAGATACCATAACAGAAGCCAACGGAACACTCTACATAAACATCTGTGTGGAAAATTTTCGATATGCGTTCATGTTTTGACATACCCTACATTTAAAGTAATTTGAAGATGTCTCACATCATTACAGTATATTTTCAATATTGGTCCATGTTTTGACATAGCCCAATTTTCGGCATTTTTATCAACATGAGCAGATCATAAACAACCTGCTAACAGACATCATACAATTCCCGACCCGTTTAAGACGTTTTGAATGTACACTATATGATTTAGGGTATATGAAGTTATAACTGCGGGAACATAATACTTTTTATAACCTATTATTTCATATTAATTTTCAAAATAAAATATATTTTTTATGGGTTAGCAAAAGAGATTTTTCTATGTATAGAAGACCTCAAGATATCTTCGAAGTATAAAATACCTCAGAGGCTCCAATAGGTACAGATGTCCACAATTGTTCTATTTTTATAAAAGTCACCAAGGGTTCTTCACTCCATAGTATATCTTAGGATGTCTACAGAGTATTCTGTCCATGAAAGATCTGCAGAGGTCATTCATACAAGAGCTGAATACACCATATACTCGTAGAAGAACTGAATTTCTTGTCTTTGGGATATAAAGAAATGTATTAATTATAGAGGACCAGAAATGGTCGTTTGTAGAAGACCTGCACGGTTTTTTTTAAGATTGCATCCACCTTCCATTCCTTTGGCATGATTATTTTTTTCAGAAGACTACTTTTCTCATATCAAAAAGTAGGTACTTAAATTCAATTAGAAATATAAAACTATCCTTTTTGTTCAAAAACTGAGATTCATGTGGGCTTCTGACTATACCCTTGAGGTTCAATCTGCTATTATCCTCTCATTCTATCTACTCTTGAAATATAAAAATCCATAATCGTTTTTTCAACCTACAAAGAGTTGTGCGGCAAAAAATCACATTTTCTCATAAAAGCTTCACATTCAAATCAAATTAAATTTTTCCAAAGTCAATATTAAACGGTTTCAACTCTTGTCATATGCCATTAAAATAAACAATTCAATGTTTCAATCAATAAAATATGTTATTTTAACACTTCATTTACAAACGCACTCATTCGCTATTCATTTATTTATTCATGCAATTGAACGGGCTAAATCATTTATCAATATTGCCAAACACACACGCACACACTATCTATCATCTGACATACATACCGTATTCACTGCGCCCATTTCTTCCTTGAGAGCGGCCTTTTCGAAACGATGTTCCTTACATTCATCACGCAGACACGCCAATTCATTGTTTGCCAATTCGATTTCTCGCACCATATCCTTGTTACGTTCTTCGAGGGCTTTCGTTCTGAAAAAGGGGGGAAAATATTGTATTAAAAATACAGTCATAAAAATTGTTTTAATTTTGAAGAAATATAAATATTATATTACTTAAAAAATCCACGCATCTTATAAGCCTCCAAAAAATATTCTTAAAAAAATATTCTTTAAAAAAATATTCTTTAAAAAAATATTCTTTAAAAAAATATTCTTTAAAAAAATATTCTTTAAAAAAATATTCTTTAAAAAATCCACGCCTCTTCTAGGCCTTGAAAAAATAAAATAATCTCTTATTGGCCTTGAAAAAATATTCTTTAAATAAACGCCTCTTATTGACCTTGAAAAACTTCTCTTATAAAAAAATATTCTTTAAAAAAATATTCTTTAAAAAAATATTCTTTAAAAAATCCACGCCTCTTGTAGACCTCTGAAAAATATTCTTTAAAAAATCCACGCCTCTTATAGGCCTTGAAAAAATATTCTTTAAAAAATCCACGCCTCTTGTAGACCTCTGAAAAATATTCTTTAAAAAATCCACGCCTCTTATAGGCTTTGAAAAAATATTCTTTAAAAAATCCACGCCTCTTATAGGCCTTGAAAAAGCTGTGAAGCTTTGAAAAAATATTCTTTAAAAAATCCACGCCTCTTATAGGCCTTGAAAAAGCTGTGAAGCTTTGAAAAAATATTCTTTAAAAAATCCACGCTTCTTATAGGCCTTGAAAAATACTCTTTAAAAAATCCACGCCTCTTATAGGCCTTGAAAAAATATTCTTTAAATAATCCACGCCTCTTATTGGCCTTGAAAAAATATTCTTTAAATAATCCACGCCTCTTATTGACCTTGAAAAACTATTCTTTAAAAAATCCACGCCTCTTATAGGCCTTGAAAAAATATTCTTTAAAAAATCCACTCCTAAATCAGTCCAGTTTCTGTTTTACAGTCAGTTTGTTATCTAATTGTCTAACAAATAAAACGAAATGTATCTTCTGCTTTCTTTGTTTCAGTCTCCTTTTTTCTCCCATAGCTCGGTTTTTTTCGTTATCCTTGAATAGCAGACACTTGAATTTCTTCCGAACTCTTGCATGCAGATTTCCATTACTTTAAGTGTAAGAAGTGGTATTTGTTTTAGCACACACAAAATACTCTAACTACAAATAGACGATTGAAGGCTTTTAACCAAAAATTAATTTGGCTTTTTAGACCAACAAAAAAGCCCACACGCACACACACGCACAAAACTCATTGAATTGATTTCCATGTACACATTATATTCATGTGGAGACTGTGTGTTAGTTTTTTGTTTGCTTTTATGCCATTTTGTTCGTTAAAGTGTTTAATTTGATTTTGATTGATTTCGAAACGCACATATGTGTGTGTGTGTATATTTTAGCCATTTATTCATTTTATGTTGCCAACATTCCAATGAAACGAAATCGGTAATCACCATCCATCCAACCAACCATCCAGGCCAAGCCAACCAGTCAGTCAGCTAGCCATCCAGCCAACAAAAACCATCAACCAATCATCAAAAGATATTACAAAAGAATCGATAGAGTTTATGTGCAAATTTTCAATTTGTCGACAAACTTACGATTAACAACAACGACAGCAACAACAACAACAATGACACAAAAATCAAATTTAGGTTTTAGTTAAACTTTTCGAAATTGAATAAAAATCTTACCCACACACACACACAAAAACAATCACCTACATACACCTATGCACACATACACAGATTCCCACATAGCATTCGTCTATTCACACATCAGGGAATTAAAGTGGAACTTTAAACAAATGTTTATTCATTCATTTCGTTCACAAACTTCAAATGTACTCTCACACACACACACTCACTCACAATTCAAACACAAACTTTGTGTTTGAAATAATCTGTTAGTCTATTCCTAGTTTTTCTTTTAATTAAATTAAATTTTCAAATTAAATTACAACACGTGTTGGAAATTCAATTTTCGATATCAACAACAGCAAGGTGTTGGCGGAACTTTGATGGGTAATTCATTTTGGGATGGATGTTTTCTAATACAAATATCGCAAAATCGAATCGACTATCCAGGCCGTATATAGGTTGAATACATAGATAATTGGAAGATAATTAATAGATCTTCTCTAGATTTAGGACCTATGGGAGGTCTTTCATACAAATAAGCCTTGTATAAATGGAAGACACTCAAAAGGTATACTAAATGCAGAAGAACTGCAGGTCTCCTATATATCAAATAGATCATAGTTTGAAATCCCTTCTCAGTTCGACTAGAGATTTGTGACAACGAAAATAACCAACCTTCATTAATTTTCGCCCACACCTCAGTATAATTTGGGAGCCCAGGAAAAATATGCTTTAATAAAGCCACGCCATATGGGAGCCCAGGAAAAATATTCTTTAATAAAGCCACGCCATATGGGAGCCCAGGATAATATTTTTAATAAATCCGCAACCCTTGCGTCCCACGCTTCTTGGATCGCTATGAACCATTGGAAAGTGTCCACAATTATTGGAACCCTCCGGTCGATCAGTAAGAAACATATTAAAGTGTTCGCAATCTTTGGGTCTCACGCGTCGCAGATCATTATAAATCCATTTGACGTGTCCGTAGCACTTGGGTAATAGGGAACCCCCTTAAGGCGTTCGCAACCCATTTTTCCACGTGTCATAGAATACCAGACAACCCCTTGAGATGTACGCAATCCTTGGGTCTCCACAGCTTAGACGAGTAAGAACCCCTACCAAATAAACAGACTGGAAAACTAGGTTATCTCAGGAGACCATTTAATAAAGGTTTCGCCCCCTTTTCGGCATTTTTAAGATTTTAGCCGCATTGTCCAACCGGATGTGGTCCTGGAGACCTGGGTTCTAATTGCGTGTAAAATCTTCCTGCTAAAAATTATAAATATTAGTCCACGTTTTGGTATATCACCTGTATAAAAGTCCCACCCCATATTCGATATTTTCAAGATTTTAGCCAAATTTTCCATTAAATGAATGAATTTTCGGGATTTTGAACAATGAACAATATATTTGAAGAAAAATTTTCTATATAGGACCACATTTTTTCGGTATTTTTAAGGTTTTAGATGCATTTTCTCACCACAGTACCTAAAAAGTGGCTTTTGGGAAAATTTGCAGGACATTTTCAATATAGGTTTATGTTTTATCATATGCCCCAAATAGAGGTCTTGTAACTTTTTTTTACATTTTGAAGGGTATAACCGAAGTAAAGGTAATTTGATGACATTCTTGGATGATGAAGACAATTTTCGATATGCGACCATATTTTGGTATTGCCCCTACAACAGAATCTCGTACAGTTTTCGGATTTTTGAAGGACTTGGTGGCAATTTTGGCATTTTGTATAAGTCCATGTCTTAGCATTGCATCCATATAAAAGTCCCAGGGATTTATCCACAATTTTCTACCACAGTGGCTCTCATTTGACATTTCAGATTCCTGGTGAATAAAATTAATTTTCTCAAAAAAGTGTAATACAATAGCCCGGCTTAATGTTCGCTATGTTGAATTTCCCAACCCTATCTATTGTCGTCATTAATACCGACAATGGAGCGGCTATATCAAAACATCGACTGACATCAAACAATGTCTAAAAAGAAAAATGTCTTGGGAGACTAGTGCCTAGAGTGCTTTGTCAACACAGGAACTTATTTCGAAAAATCGAAGGGAAAACACTGCTAAAACCTAGAAACTTCCGGAAATGGGACCTTTATATAGGCGGGGCTATATCAAAACTTGAACTAATATAGACAATTTTCTGCAAAAATTTGTTATGCCCTCCAATGTACCATTACCCCATTTCGAGTCTGGTAAAAAATATCGAATATTGGGAGGTAGCATTATGTAGGGGCTACCATAAAAGTGGACCAGTATTGATCACTTTAAGTAAGAAGATTTTCTACCCAGATCTGAAAAGCATAGAGCACGCTACACCAAAAAGTGAACAGAGATTTTCTACCCAGTAAGAAACTGAAATACTTAATTACACCTGATTAGGTCTGAATATTGGCGGTAACAATGTATGAGGCCTACCATAAAAAGTGGACCGATATATGCCATTTTTAGTACTAAACATCCCAGGAGTTTTATGTGCAAAATGTGAGTTTACATGATATGAACAGACGGATACAGGATTGGATGTTGGACTGATATTGAGAATTTTTGGTGGGAAGAGATTCTGATAAATCAACGTGCTTCGGACTACTCTATAATTTGGACCAATATTGATCATTTTTGGTGGAAAAAGTTTCTAACCAATGGTAATCCAAAATATCAATCTTAAAGCAATTCCGCTGAAAAACGTGCTTAAACCCTTCGGATATCGAATATGGAAATGGGAAATATGGATGGCGAAATCTATAAAAATGACAGATGTACCCCACTACCAAATATCCCCGGAGTATTGGCAATGTATATACTTTATGGGGTGTCCGGCGAAAATTTAGAAGAGTTGCAAAATGAATTTCAAATTTTCATACCCTACACAAATATGTTATTGCTTTGTGCAGCATCAAGAGTTTGTAGAGCATTGAAATTTTGGTCCTAGGACGACTTTTTAGAATACCGATCGTGATATCTCAACTACCTGAGTTAACATAGGCATGTGTGTCCGTCCGTCTGTCCATTATAATTTATAAACACGATATAGGACACAGTTATGGACCAATTGTCACGAAATTTTGCATGTAGTATGGACCAAAAACATTATTTTTCTCTGTTTTCTGGTCGATTTATAGGCCACAATTATGACCAGAACAATACAAAATTGCACAGATTGGCCATAGAATAAGCATTACTGTTCTGATGTAGATCGGTCAATACTTAGCTGGTCAAATGGTCCCAAACTTTTGTGAGAAGAAGTAAGAAAATGTGTATTCTAGGGCTATATATTTATTGCTGAAGAGCATATACCCCAGAAGTTGATAGTATACCCAAGAGAAGTGGTTGATCATAAAATTGATATCAATTATATTGTTGTATGTTATAGGGTTCTATG